TTCGAACCAATAGTCGTGTAGTGAGCTCTGAGAACTTGAGCCATTGTTCACAAGAGGTGGCCTTGTAATCAAATATTTGATGACTGATATTGGTATGAAGTCGAGGTGGTTTGCTATAGACATTAGGAAATGTCTAAGAAGTGGAACACTTGTAATATTGTAATTAATTGTTTATTTAATATAAATTATTATAAGTACTTGTAAAGTATTTAAAATTAATATTTATTTTATATAAGATTATAATAATAAATAAATACTTGTAATAAATATTAATAAGTACTTATAAAACACCAAGTAGTTAAAAATTATTATTAGCAAGTATTTATTTAATATTACTATTTAATTTATATAAGATAATAATTGGTTTAACTTTCTGATAGTGACAGCTTATTTTAAATTGGGCTAGGGCTTTGTTATGCTGTAGTTTGTATTATAGTACTCTGTAAACTAGGGCATACCAATGCCATTTGGTGCTAGGAAACATGAATGCATTTGTGTCATTACACAAAGGAATACAAACTAGTATAGGTGGTACAAACCCATGATAAGGTATTCTAAATCGCAATAAGTTAAAAACCTATTCATAGTAGCCTAAGAGAACTAAAACCAGCTTGGCAAATCCTAATTAAGGAAGTAGCAAATTGATTTAACCAAGTGTGATCTGATACTACAAGACAGATCTGACTAGACCCCAAAAATTTGAGAAGTTGTGTAACAAAGATCTTCTAGACAAAAGAGATCTACCAACCAGGCTGCTAGGTTATCCAGAGAAAAAGGTCACATGTTATGAAATTGTAGACCAAGGATTGGGAGACCTTCAAACTTGAGCCTGGGAAACTTGAGTTTAGGCGAACCAATCCTTCTGGACTATCTAAATTGAGAGTACAATAATACCAAAAAGAAGTAAGATATGGAAAGTGATAGAATGTAGTATAAAGATTTGTGAACTTTAAAAGAGTAGAAGTAAATAATAGTAGGGGTTTAATAGTCACACTATAACTCCAAGTATATGGATTAAGCTATAGTGTAAGTTAGGTAGATACATTGTAAGAATGTACCACTCTAGCAAGTTTACCTTAAGAATAAATAAAAATATATAGTCCTATCCTAAGTTTGGTTATTAATCAGTAGTATCACATAAATCTATATACTTGGTACATGTGGTGAAGTTACACCCAGGTTATGAGTCCCACTTGGTAGAAGTAAGGTATATAATTTAGAGGATTTAAATAAGTACTCTACATAGTGGGGGTGCAGGTATAGCAGATAGTATAGAACTCTTAATATAGCACTACCGCTTTGGGTGGACTACTTAAATTAGACACCAAAAATATATATGTGGCTTGATGTACTCTCATTGTAACTAAAATAATACTTATAATAATAAATTACTGTTGACAAAGAAATTACTTTAACATCAAAAAAATATATATATATTATTTATATACTATAAATCGCTGAAAATAAGCACACCCTTTTAATATATAGAGTGTACTTATTTTCGAATAAACTTTTTGAACAATCTTCACTGAAAATTTCTGATCATGTATATTTTTAACCAATCAAAATATGGTATAATGTTATATAATACACCAATAGATTTTATATATGCAAACACATAAGCCCAGCTATAAAAGGGGTTTTAAAAAAATTTGTTCTTTGTTAATAATACTAAGCCTTCAAGTCATAGTAACATTTCATCAATAAGACGACTTGTATAAAATTATGATCATAAGAGATATTTATTTTATTAAAAACAAATAAAAAAAACTATAACTTTATTGAATTTGCTAAAAACTTTCATATTTATTAATTATAAAACAAATCAGTTAGAGAAAGCATTTAAACATATTTAAAATCTGCTCAAGGTGGTAATCTAGAAACGTTATATTAGCATAAGATTGAAAAGGTTGAGAAAAAGGTATTAAAAATAAAAATATGCATATTGTCAAAGACAAAAAATGGACATTGAGATATTTGAAATCTGCTACAAATATGATAGAGATAAGAAGAAGATATATGAGTAGTGCACAAAGTTTGCTGAAAATAGAAACGTTTGAGTAACACTAAGTCTATCAAAGGAAGCTTTTTAAATACAATAAGGTGCTAGACTACATTACAAGATAAATATATTCAAAATAATACTAAAGCATTTAAACGATATCTGAATATTTCTTTTGGCTGAAGAGCAAGCACTATTAGTTCCTTTATAAAACTACTCTTTTAAGTCATCTAAAACCACAATATGAATATACAAGCCATATATCTATTAGCAATAATGTGTAGAGACAAAAAATGAGTATTTGTAAGGTGTTTAAGTCTGCTAAAAATGAGATAGGTGTTACTAGAGATAAAAAAAAGATCTGAGTAATGTATGAAGTCTGCTGAAAATAGAATATTTATATCTACCAAAAATGAGCACTCTAAAAAAAAAAAAAGCTGCTAAACATGTCAAGAATAACATTTATTTAATTTGTCGGAATATCATGAGGTTACAACTGATCGCATAAATTCAGAAGATTATAACTTCATGACTGAACATATAAATTCAGAAAATTATATTTCCAATAAGCCTACAATTAGATAAAATACAATTTTACATGCTGCAAAAATTGCAGGATTGTCACAAAGATATTTATAAATTAATTAAATTAATTAATACTAAAGATTAAACTTCACTAATTTCTTTCAATATTACTCAAATCTGCTAAAAGTAGAATAGGTGTTATCAAAGATAAAAAGAAGGCATCTGAATAGTTCATAAAATCTACTGAAAGTGGTGCTTAAGATGAGCACTCTAAAAAAAAAAAAAAAAAAGCAATAAGTTGTTAAATATACAAGAATATAGATGAAATTGAGGCATTTGAATGATACTTAAAATCCATTAAACATGAAAATAAAGCGAACCAAATAACCATTTTAAAATTATAAAATTTTAGAATAATTCCTTTTAATATTAAAATGCTAAAACTAAGCTTCACTAATTCCTTTTAAATTTTCTCTTCCAAGTTACCTAAAACCATTATTTAAATGTACAAGCTATATCATATCTGTTAGCAATGATGTGTATGATGGGTTAGAAATTGACTTTGATATAGATTTAGAATTTTCAAAAATTATTAATAATCAAAAGGTGGTAGTCGATAATAGAGTAACTATATTAGTAATAGTATTGCTAAAAATGTAATAAAAGAATTTGGTAGATTTAAATAAACAGAAGTTGTTAAAAATAAAAAAGGAAGATATTTTATGTTATTAAACTTACACAATCTATAAACAAAGACAAAAAAAAATACAACCATACAAAATTGTTTTGTACCAGTACATTATGTGGTCTAATTTTTAAGGACTTGTTCAAATAGTAAGTGATACTTACAATATGTTATATATACTCTGCATTATATTAGTTTAATTAATTAATTTAAAATCTTTAATGTTGTATAAAATAGAATTACAAATATCACGCGGTCTGAATAGTATATAAAAAAAAAAAGTCCAAAGTTTTACTGGTTCATGATTTTAAAATTATACAAATAACATTATAGAAAGCTATATAAGTGCCAATTGTGAAAATTTAATGGTTGATCAAAACATGTTGTCTACAAAGCATAAAAGTTATACTGTTAAACAAAAACTTGAAATTATTTCAAAATCAAAAGAAACATCTAATAAAGCTATAGCAAAAATATATGGTATAAATCACTCTCAAGTATCCAGGTAGCGAAAACAAAAGGAAAAACTTGAAGAGACACTGTACTCATATAGAAGTATCAGTTCTGGAAGGAAAGCTGCATATCCTCTTGCAGAAAAAGCATTAAGCCAATAGATTGTTCAACTACGTCAGGATGAAATTGCAGTAATACTGTGCACAATAAAGCTCAAAATAAAAGAGCTTCTTAGAACTAAATTTAAACATGAATATCCTAATGCTTTAGAGACTTTTGAAGCCTCAAATAGTTGGTGTTAGAGATTTATGAAGCAGTACAATCTTGTACTTTGATGTCACACAAAACTTGGGCAAAAACTTTTGTGTGACTTATCTGAACAATTAGATAATTTTTATAATTTTATCAAAAAATCACAACATATCAATAACTATGAATTATCTTCCATCGCAAATATGGATGAAATGCCTATATACTTTGACATGGTTGGTACTCTTACTGTAGATTATTATTTAGCAAAGACTGTTCAAATAAGAACTACAGACAACAAAAAGAATCAATTTATATGTGTTCTTGCAATCTTAGCTAATAGAGTTAAACTCCTCAATAGTAATTTTTAAAGGCAAAAGACTTTCTAGAGGTAACTTTTTTTTAGGTGTTATTATTAAAATGCAAGAAAATGAGTAGATAGATGAAAATATAATGCAAGTATGGTTGGATGAAGTATAGCACAAAAGATTCTTAATACATAAACAAAAACGTAGCTTATTAGTGATAGATTCCTTTAAAGAGCACCTTACGGATTCTGTTAAAAAATATAATAAATTGAACACAATTAGAGGTATAATCCCTGGCAGACTTCATATCCAAAAATGCAACACTTTCTAATAATCATCTGGACTATATTTTCTGAAAAATGTTTTGACTAAAAAACAGAACGTACTGCAAGAAAAATGTAAGATATGAGAAAAGAGTGTAAAAAGAACCGCACTTGTTGTTTAGAGGTAGTTCTCATATACTACCTGCCTACAAGCTTAGAGTTTATCACTTATGGCAGCACGGCACTTGTTGTTTAGAGATAGTTCTCATATACTATCTGCTAACAAGCCCAGAGTTTATTACTCATCAAAAAAACTAAGTACTATACAAACTTGTGAAACACTTATTGATGTCTTTAGAATTCATACTTATTTGAATATGTGCCAGTGGTCTCCTCTGTGTTTTTCGCTTTTTGCCATTTTCACCAAAAATTTCGATAAAAAAGTAGGCATTTTAGCTTACCCCCTTCAAACGATCAGCATTGTTTACATTTACCTAATTCGGACAACTCAGTAGAATGCAATCACGTGTTTGTTTTGTTTATCAATACAGTGCTACAGTATGAGGAAGAGATTGTTACTCCCGTTTAGAAGATACCTGAGTCGAGTCAGTGCCCGGAACGAGTTCCAAAGTTAAACTGAAGGTTTTACAATCGAGATATAGTAATTAGTTGCAATTATTATATAATTTTTATCTTTATGCCTAGTACGGGCTATAATAGTATGTTATGGCTACTTTCTTTTTTTTCGCTTTTTTCATCTTTGTTTATTTATGTTAGATTATTTTAGGAATTTTAGTTTAGTTTTTGTTTTTTTTTATTACCATGAGACATTTTTTTTCTAAAATATTTATATCTTTCATAAACATGGCTTTATATTTTTACTTTTATATATGAATAAGGGTTCAATTGTGTTGTTGGGCTTAGGTAAAAGAAGTCTGAAAGAAGAGAAAATAGTTATAATGGGCAGCAAGGTCCACTATTGAGAGCCGGGTTATATCCAATTGCAGGAGGGGTCCAGAAGGAGGGAAATCTTGCTATAGCAGGTTGAATATAAGTACCAATTGGGGTAACCAGGTTAGTTTTAACTTGTAATTCAGATAACATTGGGTTTAATGCTACGGCACTTGTTGTTTAGAGATAGTTCTCATATGCTATCTGCTAACAAGTTAAAAGTTTATCACTTACCTTTTTAAATGCAACTTAGTATAAAATTTTACGAATCTAGAAGAGTCATACAAAGTCTAATAAAGTTAAAGCATAACTGCCGAATTTAAAAAAAAATCTTTGCCAGATTTATTTTACTAGTTCAGCCTCTTGATGTATACATTAACAAGCCATTTAAAGACCGAATGTGTAAAAATAGCAAAATTAAATAGCATTTGATAGCTTTGAGTTTACAAAAAAGAGAAATTTAAAAAGACCTTCATATGATCTTATTTGCCAATAGATAGTTGAAGCGTAGAATGATATTCCGGCTGATATAGTTATTAATTCATTTAAAAAATATAGTATTTCTGATGGTATTGAAGAGTTAAAAAAACAAGTGATAGTTCTAGCTGAAGATATAGAAAACTTTCTGATTCCAATTGTTTATATGAAAAATTTGGAGAATTTGTCTAAGTACTAGTTAGTAGTTATTTCTTGTTGATTAAAAAACTAGTCTAATCTATACTAATTTATTATTATTATTATTAAAAATATAATAGTGTTGAATATAATGTATGTTTTAGTAAATATCTACAATAGTATATAGAGTTTTGAATTAGAATTGTGATTTCTACAGTATATTGTGAAATTAAAATAAAGTTACTGTATATACAAATATAAAGTATTTTATTTGCTATTATTATATATTATCGCTTGACAGATTTTTGACATATATATTATTTTAATTATTAACATTATTTAATAATACTGTTCTTATCATTAATATTAACATTTTTTTTTAATCACTATTAAAAATTTTTTTTTTTCCTAATAATTCTTGTACTAATTTCAGAATAATTTTTCTTTGTACAATAATTATAATATTTTTATTTTATATTTCAAGAAACAGTAAAATTTTAATCATCTAAGGCCCAAAGAGCCTGAACTTACTTCTTTTTCTCACTAATGTGAAACACATTCGTACCATTTTGTGTATTCCTGAAACTAACTCAAGCTATAACCCAGATTATTTTTCTTATAAAGGAGAATATCTAGTAAAAACTTCTGATATAAATATCCCCAAAAATAATAAATATTTGATTCTTGTTTCATTTGTATACAACACTTCTAGTACAATATAGAGAAGCTTACCAAAAAGTGCTTTAGAACTTGAATCTTATGACTTTGGCTTACATAAGCCAAAATCAGTAATATAAGAATTATACATATTTTGATTAACTATATTTTCTGAATGAAAATCTTTATATAAAAGAGATTGGATTTGATTTTCTTCAATTAATTAATAACTGTAATATTCGTACCAAAATTTCAACTAACAAAAAACACAACTTTTGTTGGAGAGACGTGGCCTTATGGTGCGGTTTGTCTAGAGGTCAACTGCTTTTCT